AATGCGACTATTTCACGTTTATTACTACTTCTAGACTTTGGCAGATTTCTAATATGACTCTATCACTTGCATTACCTCCACTTCACTTTGACAGACTTTTAGAACGACTCTTTCACTTGCACTACTTCTAGTAGACTTTGACCAATTTTTAATACGACTGTTTCACTTGCATTACTTCTACTAGACTTAAACAGATTTTTAATACAACTCTTTCACTTGCATTACTACTACTGGACTTTGACAGACATTTAGAAAGACTCTATTGCATTACTTCTATTAGACTTTCACAGAATTTTAATACGACTTTTTCACTTGCATTACTTCTACTACACTTTGACAGATTTTTAATACGACTCGTTCACTTGCATTACTTCTACTACACTTTGACAGATTTTTAATACGACTCGTTCACTTGCATTACTTCTACTTGACTTTGACAGATTTTTGAACATTTTTATTTGCACAACTACTGAAAGTCTTTAAAACGACATTTCAATTGCACTTCTCCTGTTAGACTTTAACACTAATTGAAAAACTTCTTTATTTACACTACTACTAAACTTTGATAGACACTTTAATTCAATTTAAACATCTAACTACTCTTACTGCTAAAATAGGACGTATAAATTTCTTACTTTACTTGAAAATTTTTGTTATTGACTTTAATAAAAAGAGAGAGACTTGGAAAATTTCTCTCGTTTCTTCCTTCATCAATGAAATTCAAACAACCTGCAAAAAAAGAAAGCAAGAATGCAAGGTGAACACATTAAGACTTCAAGTCTCAGGAGGATGGTAACTAGAGTCAAACATAATTCACAAGCTATTGTTTCTATGAACAATGGGGGCGAACCTACTTCTAGTGTAATTTTGCCGTGTCTTCTTACCAAAAGCCTCTGTGGTCTAGCGGTAGTGCACATTTAACAACTCAAATTAGACGACGGCGGTATCCCCGCCGTCGTTTAATTTAAGTTGTTAAAGCATCTCCAAGGGGCGTAAGGCCCCATTAGTTGGTTTTCTTTTCCCTTTTAATCTTTTAAGGAGCAGAAATTAACTTTATTTTAAAAGCTCCGAGAATTTTTATCCGAATTTTTTTTTTCTCAGAAAAAAATTTTCGAAGCTCTTAAAATCAAATTAGTTTTCTGTTTCTTTAAAGATTAAAATGAAAACAGGCTGACATGGTTGTAAGCTCATCGGAAGAAGTTACAATTTACAATTTAAACGAAGAGGAGGGGACATCATCGTCGAATTAGCCAAGCAAAGCAATTACAACCAAAAAAGCAAAAGTAAACACAATAACAACAAAAATAAAAGAATAGCTGTCCGTAAAAAAATTATTTATCGGAAAAGTAATCTTAGTCATACATTAGACATGCAGAGCATTCCCTCTCACAATGGCATTCCTAGCAAATTCTTAGAGAAGTTTCGTTTGTTGGAAATTTCTCTGATGATGAACCCTTAATTTTCACGTTTATCTGCCGTAATATTTCAATTTCATGCTCAAGAAATCAAATTAGCAAATTTCCATAAGACATCGTCAAATTATCTAAACAATAACTTGATTGAAACGAAACAGTCATAAAATCTTTTGGGTGTTTGTTTTATAAGTTTTAAGAAATATTGATATTTTTATCTTCTAATAAATTTTTTCAGTTACAAAAATTTTAACTCCGTTCAGCCAAACTTTGGGATTAAATTTATATTTTTAGTCAAACATTTCCGCCTTTTTTATACAAAATAATGATTAAATCAAGAAAGGTCACTATTTCCAATCTGTGCTGTAGGAAACAAAATGTTATCTTTTTGCTGCTAGGTAGCAAATAAATATTTTCAATAAATTCCCCATTGAAAGACTTAACATGATGAAGCACAACACAAACGGAAAGAAATGAAAAGGAAGCTGATTTTGTTCCCAGGAAACCATCAAATTTCTGTCATAACTGTATTCCTAGACTTTTCTTCATGGTTTTAATCTTGTTTCATAACTTCCTTGATGATGGATACATTACTTTAAAATATTTCTCATCATGGAATTCAACTCTGTCTTGTTTAATACAAAAATATCTTCATGGTGCTATAAAAGTGAATTGTTTGAGTGGAAAGAAACTTCAATTCTTCTCAGTTGTTCAGGGATAACAATTACTTGTTTGTTTATTTGTTTTTTGCCAGATTTCCCATCTGCGAAAGAACTTTTCAGACATCTTTTAGTTGTTCCATTGCCCAGTCATCACGATCCGTTCTATCCATTAGCAAGATACAATATATGTTTGCCGAAAATCCTTCGCGTTCCTGTATCTCTTAGTTTGGAAAAGTTCACTTTCACTAAAGGAGCATTTATTTTGTAGAGTAAGCTACACCTTTTCCATTTCTCTGCGCAATAAAGTTCCATCGAGAT